GATACTTTCAAACTTTACCTTTACAAGAAGATCGTGCTATTTTACTCTATCATAAAGTATATTTTTTTGAAAGCAAAAAAAAACTGATTAATGTAAGTTAATTGTATAATTAAGGCTGGATTAACTTCGAAAGCAATTGATTTGGCATTCAAACATGAACGATATTCAGCGTTAGCACAAATAGCTGATAGGTTTGTCATATAAAAAGAATAAATTCTATAAGATTAAGGTTATTTTTATCGTATTAGTGTTGGTAAGAATGTTGATCCAACACAAGTGACTCGAATGGCTGATTATTTTATGCAATTAAAACAATTTGATAAAGCTGTTGATTTACTTGCAGCGATTGATCGAGTTCGTTCTTTTTTTTTTTTTGTATTTTAATAATTCTTTGTTAATGTCTTATTAATAATCAAAATAAATAGGTTGATGAAGCAGCAGATTTAGCAATTCGAAATGAAATTCCATTAACAGAAGAATTACTTGAACGATTAAGTCCTGCTAAACGTAAGTCATTTTTTTCTTCTTAAAATCTTATCCCTTTAATTATTTGATATACGTATATATTATTTTTGTTTAGCTACTAACGAAGAAGATATGCCTAAATATCAAGCTATTTGTGAAAAATTAGGTGATCTAGCTGTTAGTCAAGGAGCATATGCTGGTGCCGCAAAGAAATATCTCGATGCTGGCAATAAGATTAAAGTATGTTACTGTGCTTTGATAATCTTCAAAAAAACGAAAAACAAATTCTAATAATCTTTTATTTTTGTTTTTAGTCAATGCGTGCATTGATACATTCTGGTGATGTTGAACGTATAACTATGTTTGCAAGTGTAGCACGTAATCGTGAAGTTTATTTACTTGCTGCTGATTATTTGAAATCATTGGATTGGAAAAAATATCCAGATGCATTACAAAATATAATGAATTTTTATAAAAAAGCAAGAGCATATGAAAAACTTGCTCAATTTTATGATATGTGTGCACAAGTATGATTTGAAAATTTTGCAGAAAAAAAAATTCAAAATATATTTTAACTTTTCTTTTTGTTGTTAGATTGAAATTGAAGAATATCGAGATTACAATAAAGCATTAGGTAAGACAACGAATAGAAAATGTAATGTTTTGTTTTTATTGATAATATGTATTTATTTATTCATCTAGAGGCATTAATGGAAGCATATAAAACATTGAGAGATAATGGTGAAAATACATTTACAAAAGATGAAACATTACAAGAACTTGAACTCAAATGCCGAAATATAAAACGATTTATTGATGCTAGAGAGTAAGGAAATTAATCTAATTCATAACAATAGTTAAGAGAAATTATCGGGATTTATTTAAATCATCGTAGTTATCTATTAATATATGTATGTAAAACATTCTTAACTTTACCAAAAGAGAATCATTGTTTTCAATGTTTCCATGTGATGAAAAAATATAGAAAGGGATTTATAGAAAAATGTCGAAGAAATAAATCTCGAAAGTTTTTAATGATTAAAATATTATATCTTCATTATTGTCTCTTAAATATTTAATATATTTGATCATATTCTTTTGTAGTCGATACCTCAATGATCCCGAAACAGGTTCTCGTGAATTGGCTAGTTTATTAACAGATCAAAAAATATTTATCGGTGTTCATCCAGGTGATGTTTATGGAATGTTAATCGATCATTTTGGACGACAAGAAAAATATAAACAAGTAAAATTAAATATAGAATTTTTTCAATAAGTTATTTCTTGGTTTTTTTTTTCAAATAGGCTGGAATGTTACTCGATGAATTACAAGAACATATTCCTGAACGTTATTTTTCTCATTATATTAATCCAAATTTACTTTCGGCTATTTATGCTGCAACCGGACGTAAAATGGCTCCACCAGATCAACCATCAGAGAGTATGACGTATAATAATGATGACCATGAAGAAAAACTAGTAACTGATGATTATCAAAATGATCGGCGACGAAAACAACAACAACAAGGGACTTTAGGCAAAAGTCATATCTATGCAGAAGAAATTGATGACAATATCGATTATGGAGCTGTTGATGACTGAAACCAACATTTTTTTGTACAGTATTTTGTTTTTGTATGAGAAAAAATTAGCCTTTTTAAAAAAGAAAATCTTCTACACTGCTTGTTACTTTGCAAAAATAAAGTGATGTCGATCGAATGGAACTATTTTCGAACTATTTTTCCCTTTATTGAAGGAGGGAGTTATACGAAACAATATAAATTTGTGTATATGTTTGCTTGCACTTGGTAGTCATGTGTTTACATGTCTTTGCATTACTTCAAGATTACTATTCGAGTTGATGGCTTCTTGTTTCAGTAACATCATTCAATCAGATTTTTTATGGTTGTGTCACACACAATCAGTTTTTTTGAGACTGAGATTTCAGCTTCTGCTTTTAGCCAGTCTTCTGTTTCGTCTAATCAATTTCCCGTCGCAAACTTTCATCGATTCATATATATCTCAAGTATAGCGTGTGAGTGGGTAGATGTGTGTGACTTGTAAGTGTGAGTATTGGTGTCATTATATAGATATTCTCCGTTTCCACACTCACGCACATTAAGTGAGCATACTAGCCGGTCATCTCTTGACCCACATTACAATGCATTTCACCCCAGAGTGATGTAATCAAGACAACCTTTCTAAACTTCTTCTATTTTAATCAACTCCTACATACAACATTAATATTTATTTCACAATGGATGATATTTAATAGCTCCGCATAAGCCATAAAAAGTAACAGCAAATATTTTTGAAATTTAATATTTATTAATTATGTTGATAGATGAGAAAAGGATATTTCGAAAACAGGTTTTACTTGGTAGTTGTAAATGGTGGCAAAGACAAGTCTCGATAATTTTATGAAAAAATTCAATCAATTTGCTTCCTAACAGCTTCAAATATTCCATAAAAATCGATCAATTAAACGAACAGAACCCAATGCGCAGCCATGAAAACTTACAAAAAGGATTGTCTTACAGTTAATTTCGATTAGCATGACAAACAACATGGAAGCTATCTATCAATATTTGAATAAAAGAGCTTTCATTGATTTTTAACGAGATTTGGTAACATGATTGGATTGACTCCGATTTCAGCAAAAATAGAAGTTGTCAACATATGATTAATGTAGGGAAGACTATTTAGAGCTGAATTCATGAAGAAAAAGTATTTATTCCTATTAATCATGCAGCAACTCAACCTTCTCTGTCTTATCATAGTTCTTCTAACAAGTTCGATCAAAGCCTCTCATTATCGGTAAGTTTCAACGGTTTTTCCTCACATTCTACTGATATGCATAAACATCTAAAGAGGTGGCTCTGTATCATGGGCAATACGAGAAATTCCAACTAATATTACTACAAATCAGCAAGAATTAGTTGTACGTATCACACAACGACATTCATGGCGGCGTTCATATGGAAATAATCATTTTTGTGACAACAAGACCATTGCTTCGTCTGGTTTGATTGGTGAAGGTGAACTCGTTAGTTCCGAGGACAAACACAAAAAATTATCAGCTATGGTACGATGTACCGATTTTAGTGAACCATTCGATTATAGCAGTGGGGAAATCTCAACGTTAGTCACGCTTCCAATAAACAAAGAGATCGAGTATTCTTACCAGGGTTGTTGCTGGATCAATTTGTTACCACCTGATACTGATACAGGTAAATATGCGAAACGATGGTATTTGAGGAATTCTCAATCGCCTAATATATCTAATATGAATATCGACTCTACCCATAGACAAGGAATCTGATCATTTCGAATAGATTATCCTTGAAGGATAGATAGATGGATAATCATCCGAATCTTTGTCGTCATTTTTTTTCTTGCAATATAATTTAAGACTCATTAACAATTATCTTTCACAAAACAGTACAGTCAAAGGTAGGTTATGTTCGGTCCGTATTCGATCTTTTTTATCGTTGATTCGACTAGAAACATGTTCGAAGACTACTGCAGTTTCATATATTCAGAATGTGAAAAACTGTGAATAGTTTTGTTAGCACATGTTCCTCGGTTATTCGGCTCAATAGTTACCATTGGTTTGAAATTATCCTATGAGGGGAAAAACAAATATTTCGAGTTTTTCTTGGTTCATAGAAAGAATGATGCCGATGTAACATTTGATCTTCACAAACCCAAATTCAGCTTCAGATAACTTCATTCTGAAGATTTTTCTTTTCTTTCTCTATAGAAATAATTTAGATTGGATGAAGACCTAGTGACAACTTTTTTGCCTTCAAGTCCTTCTTTCATGTAACATTAAATTACTATTTTCAACCTGATAAGACTATACACCCTGTACTTCACATAGGAATGCAAACTACATCAATGAAGCCCGACAGTCACTGGTAAAAAGTCTAATGTAAAAGATGACAAGATCTCCAAGGATCTATCACGTTTTGGAATTATGTTTTGATCTAGAACAAGGTCACATTGTACTGAAAAGAAGAGAGTCTGTAGAAATATTTCGAATACAAACTTATAATGGTTATTTTGACAGTGTTCAGCACGAAGAATCTTTAATAACCATTACAGTACTTGTAGAGCAGTGAAGCAAAAACTAGAATAATCATTTGTACACCGATGAAATACAACTAGAGTTCGGCTAAAATTATTCCTATCATTTTATGTCATCACTGCCGATGTTTAGAATGAACTTGTAGCTGTAGCATTTTATTACTTCAGTTGCTTTTTAGGTAAAAATGTTTCAAATTCATTTTATTCCATGTTGTTTCTCGTATTGGTCTTGAATATTATTACATTGTAAGTTTTTTCAGAGTTGAGATGGTCACTAAAGCTTGTCATCAACACCAATCGACGTCGTAACGGAAAGTAAGTTGTACTAACTCAATTTATATTCTATCATTTTTTGCTTTCACAACAGATTGAACAACTCACCCATATCAGCCATGAATCCTATTACAGAAGTTCAAATTGGCAAAATACATATCATTCGGATTCCGATGGCCGATAGTGACGGCGATCCCTTGCGATGCCGATGGGGTCGAAAAGATAATCAAGAATGCGGCAGCATCTGTTCTCCAAAAGGTCTTCTCACACCAGATCCATGCGAATTAACTTACAATGCCACTCGACTTGGCTATGCAGCTGTTGCTCTGGTCATTGAAGATTTTGACTCTAACAACAAAGTACTTTCATCTATTCCACTTCAGTTTCTTATTCGCATTGTCAATCAAACTGTCAGCCAAAATAATTCAACCAGTTGCAGTCGACTACCTGTTTATGTTGGTAACCGACCACAAGGTGCTTGTATCGGAGTCAAATCAAACTCGTCAGTGACTGAACAAGTTCAATTTCGTATTCCATGTCCAAATACAAGTACTACTTTAGCCAACATTCTTACAGTGTCACCACCGGGAATGATTAGAGGACCCATTATACGAGACTCATCTGATCTCAATCTTTACTCGATGGAAATTCGATGGACACCTGAATCTGATCAATATGGTGTCCATCAACTATGTTTAACACCAGTCGACTCTCAACAACAAGCAGGTTCACAAGTTTGTCTCGTATTTCAAGTCGATATTGATCCACCTCGATTTGTTCGTATGCATCCAACTGGAATCGTACCTGATAATCAATCAACATGGATAATTGAAGTTGATCGAGACATAGCTCCGCCACGACGATCGATCGGTGTCAATATTCGCTTTTTCAAACGATCAAATAACCAAGAAGTATACCGTGTTGATGTTACTTCACCTTCTGTTGTCTGTTATGCACCACGAAGAATTACATTTTACACATTTGGCTATACCTGGAACAAAGTAAGTGAACTCTAGTCAGAAGATATACACAAGCATAATAGTACCATTTATACATAATTATCATAGTTACTTTGCCTTTGAAGTGAATGTTGTTTATTTTGATAGACATCTAGTAGATTTCTAGATATTTCCATTATTATCATTCGTAAAAACGTTTTGTATTTTTTGATATTTTAAATTGATAAAGTGTCAAAGTTTATTAAAATAGGGTGAAGAATATTATATTTTATTGGATAGTGGAGTGGCCACTATTAATGAATCATGTGGCATTGAGTCGGCACCTGTTACTGATAAGAATGTTTGGACATTTCAAATACCAACACAGACAACTATTTTGCCAAGTACAACCACAAGTAATTCGTATCTGATTACAACTGAAAAAGGAACTACAATAATTGCAGAGAAAACAGTACAAAGTACGATGATAGCCACACCGAAAACAGTACAAAGTACAGTGACAACCACACAGATCACGTCAAAAAGTCCTACTGCAACTATGCAAACAATAACATCGAGCGCATCTCCTATTACAGCATGCCATCAATGGTTTCCATTCAACACTATTTTGAATCTGAGTACAAATGTCGAGCATCCAACATTTACATTCTGTTTCAGTGTCAATACAATTTTTGCTGATGTTACCATAGCAGCCAATACATGGGTTCCATGTTCGAGTTGGAAAAACTCGGGTGCTAGTGATCCTCTGATTGAACTTCATTCAGAAAATGTCAAACAACTTCTAGCCAAAAATGACGATGGAAATAGTATTCCATCAATAAATTGCTATGCTTCTGTATTAAGCTATCGTCTTCCAAGAGGCGATTATCGTGTAGTTATCAGAAATCCGAAATGTGCATATGGATACTGTGAATTACGCTTTTTAGCTGAGGTACCATTTGCACGGATAGATAACTCCACATAATATGTTTTATTAAGTGAAAGAAAAGATTGTTTTTTTGCTTAAATATACTGTGCTATGAAACAACTTATTTTTTTGTCAATCTTATAATAAAAGCATACTTAATCCAGAATTGACCATTACCAAACTGGTACGAGAAAAAAAAATTGAGAAAAATAAAGTTAATGGAATACGAAACGAATAAACTGGGGGGTTTATATGTCATAACAGAAAACTTCGTGTCTGCGTGTGTGGGTACTTGTTTCCAAATGTACTTGTTCTTTTAATAATGATGGCCTAGCATTTTATTCAGGACTTGTTTCCAGTTGTGAAAAACAAAGAAGTTTAATTGTAGCCCGATGTCAACTAGATAAGTTGCAAAGCTTCATCGTGCAATGATGAATTATCGCTTCGGTTTTCATCTGAATTTCTTTCCTTATTTCATGAAATTAAATCATACCTAACCCATCACGTTTACAATGTGAAGAAAAATCCCATCGAACAATTTTCTTTTTCTTCATTGGATTCTTATTTTCCTTGGCTTTTCATCAAAAATAGATGCAAAAGCGTCTATTTTCATTGCATCTGGCCATCGTTCGCCATCATTTTCGAGAGAAAACTTATGGATGGAAAAATAATCAAGTAAGATATTTTTATTATTCAGGTATTTAGTATCGGTCTTAGTAATTCAATAAGAACTTCAAGGATTTGTAATACTGCATAGTGATCAATAGATTCATTGAAACGAATGATCGGCAAGAAGTATTCAGTCATCTTTCAATATTGTTGATGAATTCAAACATGAGTTATTTTCTCAATTACCATCAATCCTCCTCCAGGAACTGCATAAAAAAAGATGAAAGACATCAGACTAATAATCAAATGAGACAAATTTTGCATTGATTCACAATATGATCTGACATACAATTTAGTGATAGAAAAAAACGTTTTCATAATTTTCTGACGAATATTCATCAAGCTATCCCCACACTATTGTCTTTCACATCTACAACAAAAATCGTAAATATGAGATCTTTTCTGTTCTTCAAAAGTGTCAACATTTACAAATGGCGTATTCCTCTGGTATTGGTAAGTTTCATACTTTGGTACGACAGAATTCATTGTTTTCAAATGACGGAAAATAATAAAATGTTTCCAATTTCCTGCCTAGTTACAAAACATTGTTTACTATATATCGGTAATGCCAGTGGTTGAACAAATCGACGTTCAAATAATTTTTAACATATGCTACTTTGGCAAATGAATTTCAGAAATGAAGAAATTCTCAAAGATGAATACTGAATACTTCAACTCGATGCCTACTTAGAACACCTATAAAATGTTAAAATATTTGAAACAGAGTGTCTGATAGAACTTGACTGAAAATCATTGTATTCTATTTGATTCATGATGATCTTCTGGTCCATAAGAGATAATTTTGTTCCAAACAATTGTATTATTCGATCTCTCCTTCAAAATTACGATACCTCTCTAAAAGCAATGCCAATTTTAAGAAACCATCAACTTCTATTCATGTTGAACTTTTTTACTCGGTTATTTTTATTGTCACTCAAATAAAGATTGCTCTCTTGATCAAATGATAAATCGATGGAATAAGAGAATTGATTTGATCGTGTTTCTTGACTTTTCCACCAACAAAGACATTTCTCTGGATGGTTTCTCGAAACTAAGGGTGGGAGTGTGGACGAAAAGAAGGTCCACAGCACTCACCCGCACCTGCGCCCACACTCACCCTATCCACACCCCACCAACACTCCTAATCATTAGGTCTTCTGCGTATTGAGGTTGAAAACGAGATGGATGGATCAATAAAACTTGATCGAGAACAGACCAACCGATGAGTCCTATTTCACTGTATTGGATGAGTCGGGATGAAAATGGATAGACAGCTGGAGATGTAAGAGATGAAGGTCTTCTCTTTAGCCATTCTTAGCCACAGCTCACTTATTCGTTTTCAGTATTTTTAAACGACCTTCTTTAATCACTTGGAGAAAGATCAGAATCTGTTGTGCTCACAAATCTTGACTACAGGCTTCAATGCATATGCTGGTTGCAATCTTCATCCGAATTCCAATTAACCTTAATTGATTTTTCTCTCAGTTTTCAGAGCTAGGTGATTAATCGAATGATCTGAATCGCAGAAGTAACAATGTTAAACCGGTTTCTGATGTAAGTCTGAGTGTGTTTGTTGATGTAGGCGTCGGTAGGTCTCTTCTTTCAGCACATCCACACTCTTTTAGGATAGTGTTTCTGAAGATTCCTTCTGCTAAAAACTAATTGAAGATATTGAATGACGTTTTCCATCAGAACGATACTATTATTAAGCACACCAAATCTCATCAATATCACAGTTTCGAAAGGGGCTAATACATGAAATGTACGAGAATATTTAAGTATCGATCAAAGATGTCAAGCACTTCGTTTTCATGGCAAATCATTTCTTTCAAATGATGCTGACCTGAGGTGTGATTAATTATTGTTTGGAACACTATGTACTACATAGCAAAGTGAACTTTATGTTAAAATATATATTCTTCAATGAGATGATGAGTGAGTGTGGATTCTTACTTCATCCATAACGACCCTGGATTATTTGCTTCTTTCTTTTCGTTCTTCTCTCTTCTGCATAAGCTAAAACAGCTATGTTAATATGTCTTCTCATGTTTGTACAAATTGCAACAAAATCTAGTTTCTTAAGACGACAGAACTACTATAATGTTTCTACACATACAAGACGATAGTACTGTCATTTTTCGCGCTGAGTGACACGATGCACGGTCATTCAACATAACACCACAGTGAGCATTTGCACTTAGAAGTGTGCTGCAACATGTGACTATGTATAACGGCTTCTCTTGCATACGATAAAACAGATTGATCATGTTTCAAATGCTTTAATATCCCAACGATTGTCCTGTGAACTTTTTCTTTATCAAGTTTCACAATATCAAAAGATGGAAGAAAATTTTCTTGCATGTCAAAACATAGATCAATGAGTATTATTTATCGATTAAGCGCTATGAAGGAGGATAGTTGACATGATGCATCCACAAAAAGTAATCTTGAACTATCTAGACCAGCAATATATTAAAGAGCGACAACTGTTATGTGAATATTTTTCTTATTTATATAATAATAATTAGTATTACTTTTCTATTCTCCTTGTTCTATTATTGATGCTATTGAATATATCGATACTCGGCTTAAATTGCCTAAAAAATGATATTTGATCGTTCATTTGTTGATGAAAGATTAAATATTTGTCTATTTCTTTCAATCGTATAAAAATAATAACAAAGTAACAGGTGGTATGAGAAACAAGCTTCGAACAATGGTCGTATTTTCTTTCATTTGTGTTTTAATCCATCTGTATGATTATATTTCATACACTTAAGCCCTTGCTTGATAGAAGCGAATATCTTAGAGTTAAGAAAAAAATATAGAAGTTATATTTGACTGAATACCAATATATCGAACCCTACTGATCATTGGTGATGAATCAGAAAAGAATATTCTTATTTATATTGTGCATAATTCACGGTGGTGTACATGGAATACTTGATCCAAGTGGGTTGAGAGCATATGCTAGCATTGGTGGATTGACATTTGGCACAGCCTCCAACATAGCACATCTACGAAAGAATGTTAATAATGGTCAATTCAACCAGTATGTTAAGAAGAATTATCATCTCATCGAATCGAAAAATGATTTGAAACCTATTAAACTATGGCGTGGTGAAAACCATTACGATTGGGTTGACTCCGATTGGCTATTAGGGGCTACACCACAATCGACAGAATGGGCTCAACAGAATGCTATGGAAATTCGAGGGCACACTTTGGTATGGGCTAATGATAAAAGAATTCCGACTTGGCTATTACAACAAGAATCTTCGATATCACCCGTAAAAGTCAAGTCGTTGTTGAGTGATTATATTCATGCTGTTCTCGGTCGTTATCAAGGCAAGATCACATCGTTGGATGTGATCAATGAAGCTGTCGATGACGCGCAAAATAATACTCATCCATTTAAACTACGAAATTGTTTTTGGTACAGAAAAGATTTGATGAGGCTTTCATTTCTTTTTGCTCATCAAGCTGATCCACAGGCACAACTATACTATAATGATTACAATATTGAATGGTACGGGATGAAATCAAACAATGTTCTTCAACTACTGACATGGGTGAGATCACAAGGAGCCACTGTTCATGGAGTGGGTGTTTCAACTACAGTTCGTCCTCAAGATTCTTATTATCAAAGTGCTCAAAGATTCATTGACAATGGATTTGATATAATGATCACAGAATTTGACGTATCTATGCTAATGAATGGTAGTGTGCCTCAAGATCTAAATGATCTACAAAAACAAGCATCAGTATATCGTGCTCTTGTCAAATATGCTCTTCACTTTTATTCAAAATGCCGTGCACTAACCACCTGGGGGTTTACAGATCGTTATAGTTAGATTCCATCGTATTCAAATTATACGAAAGGAGCAGCTCTGCCAGCCGACTCAAACTATCAACCAAAACCAGCCTAGTGGCACAGGCAAGAAGAACTGACACGTGTCCTTCCCGATGAAGTCTATCGATTGATGCCACAGTCCCAGACACACAAAAGTCTTGATACTTATGAAAAGGAAAATCTTGACGAAGTTCATGTTTATAATGTAGAAGAAAGTAAGCTCAATCAAATGTGGAATGTTACTTGGCTCGGTGATGGTTCCTATCGTTTAACACCACAGAGTCATCTACAATTTGCTCTTGATGTTTATCAAGAAAATACAACATTAGGCGTAGTTAAAGTAAGTCATTGGTATAGCGAAAACAATCAGCGATGGATTCTTTCTCCTGTCGCAACCAACACGTTCCGTGTTGCACCACGTACAGTTTGGTGGCGAGCACTGACGGTTGATGGAATACCGAACGTCTTTATCCGCGATTATATAAACAGTATTGATCAACATTGGATTCTCATCAAAATCTAGAAGAATTCTATG